TATGTTCTTCAGTGTATATGCGAAGACGATGACTTTAAAGAAGCGGTGACGCTCGCAATTATTATTTCATAATAAATTATGTTGGTTAGTTGGAATAATAAGGAAAAAAAAAAAAAAAAAAACTAAAAACTGATGTGGTGAACCGCAGAGAGAAATTTATTATTTTGTCAAGTATGATCTTTTTAAATATACGCCAAGTGTATTAAAAAACATAATATTATGCTTTACATCTTGCACAACACTATTGGTTTCAAATCAATTATGGATACTTGTGAAATGTCATTTTATTATAGTGTATGAAGGATAAACGACAAAACCCTGTTATTATTAATAAAAATTTGCAATATAAAATATGCCTTTGATATTAATAACAAAAGGTGAAAAACAATTTCAATGAAATACCATCGCACACAAAAGGCAAACTTAACAAACACATGTATCGTATCACAGAAAATTTTGCACAATTCGACTTCAACACTTTGCAATAGATAATCGATCGCAAGCTCAAGAATAAGTAAGGAATTACCGGAAAAGTAGTAAGTAGCTTTGACGCCAGTGGCAGTGTCGCGACTGGAGCCGAAAACTCATTTTGCGACAGCAAAAGCTCAAGCCTCAAAAAGCAGCCACTGCGCATGCGCAAACGCGCGCAATACCGAAAATCCCAGCAGACATCTCGGGTCGTCGTTGCGGGTCAAGATGCCGTCGCATATTTATGTGTATTAATAATTGGACGAGCGTTAGCGAGTCATCAGGCATGTCGTACACAACGTTTTGCATTCTTGTTCGTTAAGATTTCCGCTTTGGAGGATGGGATAGATTGCGATTATTTTGGTATGCTAAGTTGACAAAATAATGACGCCGTGCTGTACGCGCAAGTGACGATAAAGACGAGCTCATGTACAATTAACAGTTTACCCAAGCTTTCCGTAAATAAACAAATTTTAGGGAGGCTTAACTTTTGCAAATTCCATTGTACATTCTCTAATCGATAATATGTACTTGTCATAGAATGTATCTTCTAATCAATTATTTATTGTGCTCTGTTGGCTACTGAAATTGAAAAATTTTCCTATTGATCATGTTTTTTTTTTTTTTGTTTCCTCATTTACAGTCAAGCATTTATATTTAACAATCGAGTCTACTTGTAAATAAATGGTAGTTTTTCACTGATATTTGCCATAATGTAACAACACAGAATACAATGTTAGATGTAATTAAATGGAAATATCAAGTTTTATCTCATCGTTTCTAATGAAGATTATTAATTACCAAGATATTCTCCAATCGTTGGAAACAATAGTTCATTTTTACCCAAATATCATATCATTGTACTTTCTTTTTCATTTTTATTAATTTCAATCTTGCAATTGTCAAGTGTTCGTAGCATTCGTGTAACTGTATTGTAATTGTATAGACTTCGCAGAACACTTCTAACAAGAATTTCTATTAATACTTGTAAGCATTGGCTTTTATGGCGTGAATTCTTGGAGACGAGCGCTGCCTTAATTTAGCCCTAGAATTTTAATATTTATTTTTATCAATGGAGTTTGTAAAATTTGCTGACAAAAATCACTTGACTAAGTTTGAAAAACTCTATGCGAAAGAGCACTTGAGAAATATAATTGTTAAGTAGATTAAACGAGTAAAAAATATAATGATGTTGATAAAATTTAGACATAAAGTTATCTCATGAACGTTGGATAGTTTTTCTCAAACTTAATTCCACATTAATCAAAAGTTCGCTTCAATCTAATGTTTACGCACTTCATAAAGAATTATGGACTTTATAAAAAAAGAATCGAGATAAGATTATTTATGAATCTTGAATTTTAGCGTAGAAAAAAAATTTTCTTATATATACGCAAATAGTTTCTTGGACTTATAGGAAAAACGAATATTAAATTTTATTTTGATCTAATTGCACGAACCTTATCTACTTAAACATATTTAAATTAAAAAAAAAAAAAAAAAAAAAAAAAAAAAAAAAAAAGAAAAAAGAATGAAGAAGAAAGTGTCACTTATCAAGTGATAAGCGTAAAAAAAAATCTCGTAATAAAATCCTCCTATAAAAATTTAATAACAACGAAGTAAATAAACATTATTCTTATTTTATAATTTCATAATTTATCAAAATTAATTTATATATTTTATAAATATTTGAATAATATAGAACGTTTGTTTTGGAAATAGTAGTTTCTTCGTGATTATTCAACAATACAATCTACCTCAAATTGGATAATTATTTACAAAAACGTAACAATAAAATAAAGCTCTGACTGAATAAGCTCTGACTTTCTTCTTGGAATATTATGAGTATTTATCAGATTTGTTATTAAAATATAGAAATTTTGGAAAGAGATTACAATTGATTAAAATAATGCGGCACTGTCATAAGAATTCAGCTACAACGCATATGACATGCATATGACATAAAAATATTATTTCTAGTTATATATGTTTGTAATCGTAGCTTAAACAAATTTCCAAGAAGTCATAATATTTGTCTATATATTATACCACTGAAATGCATAATCCAATAAATCGATGCTTTTTATCCTTTAAACCAAATACAGTCGCCAAGAAATGCCAGAAAAAGCAAGACATTTATTATCAAGCATTATTATCTTCAGTGAAATAAAAGCAAAAATGTACAATTTTATTCATTTAGAACGTATGATTTAGCATAACAATACCATGGTAGGATAGAAACGAACAATTGTTTATGCAGGGACGACGCAGTGAAAAACCAATGAAGAAAAATAAGGAAATAACGAGAAAGAAGGGAGTTCGGTGGGTTTTTTTTTGGGATGGACTGGTGGTTGGCAGGAGGGTGGGGGGGGGGGGGGTGGGGGTGGCCGGGGGTTGATATCCCTGGCGCAATCTCGGTCCGTTCCTTGAAATAGCCGGTATAAAAAAGAAAGGATCAAAAACACTCGAGCACGCGCCATAAACGCTTCCAGGCCGAGAGAATTCGGCGCTCTCCGTGCGACCGGCAGCGCGTGAAAATTCTAGGGAGAGTGAAGCAGGTGCTTTACGAGTACCATCCAGTTTTTGTCGAGTGGTAGTGACTCGACAGGCACCGAAGCATCCATGAAGACCGCCGAGTCCTGCGTACGTAATCGAATAATCTCTCATTTAATCTGTTAATCCACCTTTGCTAGGTGAGAAAGTTTGTTTTTTAGTTTATCCTGCCGATGGAAGCTTAATAGGTTTTGTAATGGCTGATCGATTCGCTCGTCTTGCAACTATTTTGCCTTTTTTTTTTGTTGATTTACTGCTGACGAGTTAAAATGAGAGTGAAATCCACGGTTTTTAGTGCTATAAATATTTCTCAAATAAATATTGACTTTTTTTTTTTATAATTGCTTGTGTTTGTTGTTTGTAGTTGTGTTTTCTTTGTTTTTTTTTTTGCTTTTCTTTAAAGGACTTCAAAATAATAATTCAATGAATGCTAATAATTATTAAATATATTCTAGTTAACACCGGTGGAAGCTATTCAATTTACACATTGTAAATGTGAATATAAAATTGATATACCAAAATACGTTTGACCATTAATTGAGCTCACACATATATTTGTATAACTATATATGATCATTTAATAAATTATTGAATAAAGAGACATGTATCTTATATACGTAATCAATTCATTAATTAATAAATCAATGGGAAAATTTATTGCACTTTATAACAATTTCTTAATCATTAAATAAAAAGTAACAGTACTAATTTGAAGGTATTGTAATCTATTTAAATTTTCTGTATTAATGAGTAATATTTCGTGCAATTTAGAGAAGATAAAATATTTCAGCTGAAAAAGAATGATAATACATTTTATCAAATTTTCGATGCACTAAAAGTGTAGACTTTAAATATATTTTAATACAACGGTTACTCGTGTAATTTTCTACCTTTTAAAACCATATGATTAAAAATTTAAAAAGATAAAAAAATATTACATTGTTTATAAGTTGAAAAAAAGAAGTTCTCATATTAAAAATTAATGTTACAATATTACTAAACTACTATTTAACTATGAGTTGTTTATCCGTATTGATTCGTTGAAATACATTTCATTAGACAAATAAACTTTAATCACTGAAAATGCATTTATAATCAAAATAGAGTATTTCGGTAACAATACCTACAGATTCTATCGTTACGATTTAAATTAAGAAATTCACACATTTGATGATAAAAAATATACGGAATTGATTAAATGTGGTGTATATGCAGATGTGTCGCACCCACACGTGCATGCACACGCATGCACACGTACACTCATGCACGCACCACGCTTGCACGGACACGCGCACGATGCGCACGCACCACGCACGATGCGCACGCACCACGCACGATGCGCACGCACCACGCACGATGCGCACGCACCACGCACGATGCGCACGCACCACGCACGATGCGCACACGCACCACGCGCACGATGCGCACGCACCACGTACGAGTTATTACATAATAATGAAATAATAAATCAATTGAACAAAATTGTATTCAATTTAAACTTTCTTGTTTATGCTTTCATAAATTCAGGAGGTATTTATTCTAATAAAATTAAAACAAGAAATACCAATGAACTTACTTAAAGATACTCAAACAGGTTAGGATAACCTTGACGTAACATGTCCATCAAGTTAAATAAGGTGAAATTTCTTTGAATAAGAAATATGATAAATATAATTATATCTTTGAATCAGTGGCAATTATAAAGTTAATTATTTTGAATATTCAATTTCACCAATATAATATGAATTATTCGAATTTCAATATTAAAATCATAAGATGATGTGATTTGAAAATTAAAAAGTTGTAAGTCGTGTAAAGTCCTCGTTTGTAGGTCAATCATGCAAGTCTTATCGGGAAATAATTAGAACGTAACAGTTTGAACGGGTCCTGTCTGAAAATCATCTCAGTACACACAAAGCAAAGATAGCGGGTGATCGTAACAAAAAAAAAAAAAAAAAAAAAAAAAAAAAAAAAAAAACTGTACGGTATCGGTCCGTAGACCGACGGAAGCGTAGTTCCGGCGCTGTTATCCGGTGACGTCCTGGCGATCGCAGACTTCCAATCTCGATCGCCGTCATCTAAGATCCTTTCTTTCGAGCCCGTGAGTGCCTTACCCACAAGTCTAGGCGACAAAAGCTTATTATTGTCATCGTCCATGGTAGTGAGGTCTGTGCATGATTTATTAAACGAGCTCTGCCCTCTGCGTCTTATCATTCTTTCGATCTTTGTTTCGCGACGGTTGTGAGGCGATAAAATGGCCGGTGACATTGTAGAGGATAATTCCAAGAGGCTCCTACTATTCTTCAGAAGATTCTCCCGACTTCGTTCAATCTTCGAGTCTACCTCCACTGTTCGCCAAGACTCGTAAAAGGATTGCGGCTCATTGTTCGTAATATTAAGTAAAAAATTATGCTCCAACCCCTCGTAGCTTCTATGCTTCAGTCTGACGTTATTAAGATCCAGACACGTTGGGATATTTTTATCTGCGCGGCATTGCGCGACTATCAAAGGCGAGGTACTTTTGGACTCAGCGTCCGAGGAATCGGTAACGCGAACGTAACTCGCAAAATATTTCGAGTCTTGATCGTCATTCCGTTGATCCTCCGTGATGGTTGATATTTTTCCTAAATCGTCACTGAATCTTCCGTGAGATTGTGATTCCATAGGCAGATCCATGGCGGAACCATCGATAGACACTCGAGTTATTGAGCTAATGGACTCGGAATGCGACAATGTCGGCAATGACTTACGAAAGTCTCTCTCGATTTGCTCATTTGCTTCGGCAAATGATTTCGATATTTCATCCCAAATCATCGAGGTCGACGTTCTTCTCATTATTTGCGTCGTCACATCCTTCCCACGAGTCCCTTTCCTCTGCAGCGATTTGAAACATCGGCTCGCAGTGTCGTTCAAGGATAATCGATGAGTCGCACTTCGCCACGTACCTCCGTTACGTTCGGTGCCAAAGTACGTTATAGGAAGGGATCCAATTTTTTGCGACAGTGGATCTATCTTTTTCTGACTATAATCGATAGAATCCGGAGTGTTGCCGAAATCCGCGCGAGACTTTCGACCGTCGGTACTACTACCAGCTGATTGGTTGCTTTGGCTTGTCAACGTCTCCGTACTACCAAATCCCAAGCCAACTTTTGGAAAATCCGTATTGCGATTTGCGGATAATTGAAATTTTTCAAATGCCTGTCTGCGGCAATTATCATTCCCATTATTATCGTTGCTGTTCTCGTTGTCGTCGTTGCTCTTGTTGTTTTTGCTGTTGCTGCTTATGTTGCTGTTGCTGTTGCTGCTGATGCTGCTGATGCTGCTGCTGCTGTTGTTGTTGTTGTTGTTGTTGTTGTTGTTGTTGTTGTTGTTGATGCTGATGTTGATGTTGCTGTTTTTGTTACTACCGCTATTGTTATTGTTAGAATTGTTGCTATTTGGTGTTTCAGCGAAGAATTTGCGGCGCAAATATCGATTGTGCTCAAAAATTTCGTGTAATCGCTCACGACTCGTGCGAAATTCCGGGCTATGCGGCACCACATAATCGTCTATCCTTCTGGGCATCTCTGCGAGATCGTCCTCGTCATCCAGCAACACCTTCGCAGACGATTCCGACCTAATCATATTACTGTTCTGATCGAGCCCCCTCGCATATTTATTGGCCTGATTAGTCGGGCCGCTCGAATTTTTCGTAAAATGCTGCTCGCCGCATTCGTAATAGTTCAAGCTCGAGTTAGGCCGAGGATGATCCTGAATGTCACCGAAGTAAGATCTTTCGAATTCGGTTCGCGGCTTCCAGTCGTAATTGAGCTGCTCGTCCGATCTGAACACGTGATGATTGTCCATTTGCCTCGATGCCAGGGTGTCTCGGTCGGGATGAAAGCGAAGGTAAACCAGATCGGCTCTCTGGATTTCGGGCATTGAGCGGCGCTGAACGGCGTGACGTTCGAAATTGTGCGGTTGGCCCTGCTGCGAATGATGACTAGCCAAGCGCATCCTTAAGCGTCGTGACAGGCGGGAGAAGCGCCGTAAGTCGTCGATGTCGTTGCACGTACCGTTCCACTCGCGATCCCCTTCATGTCGGCGAGTTCCCGATTGCCGGTCAGCAGCGGCGTTGTGAATCTCGTGCCTCGTCGAGGGCGATAGCATCGTATTCAATTTAACATTACGTGATTTGGATGTAAATATTTACGAGGCTTACATTATTATTATCGGCTTAAGCAAAAATAAACACTCATTATTTGTTTCCATTCTCTCTCCCAAGCATAATAATCGAGATTCCACGTTTACGTCTGCATTCACATTGACACACGTTTAATCGTTTAATCGTTTAATCGTTTAATCGTTTAATTGTTTAACGTTTAACTCCAACTCCACGTCTTGTCGCTTCCTATGTATGAGGGATTTAAGTTATCAAGAATCTTGAGTGCATGCGAGTTTGGCCAATTATTATTAAGCCGTGTTAGTTAGCTTTTGAATATTAGGATTTTCTCGTCATACAGCGACAAAAATTTCATTGCCAATCGTGCTTTCAATATAAACAAATTGCCGTTTGATGTACACGCTCTTCACCTAAATCCTCTACACTCTTGGCTGAGACGGACTTTTATATGTTGTGATTCTTTGAATATGATTGAAATTTCGGATGATACGTTTATCATTCGAAATCGGATCAATGTAATTTTCCAACTCGTATCCGTGCCAATGGAAAGCTACCGATTTACAATACGAAGGACGATCAACCTTCAATAGTCACTCGCAATCGCATCGATTATTAATCATCGATCATTAACGAAAATTGTTCACCATCATACTCACACGGCATTGAGCACATAAAATATTAAGCGCCTTCTCTCCTTTTACCAAAGCACCTTCAACTTTTTATCTCTCTTATCAAGATTATCATGATGCATAGGACTAACATCACAGAAAATCCATTTCTGCCAATAATCGGCATCAACGTAACAATCAAATCAACATTAATCCCCACTTTTACCAATGTAAACACTATAGCACCGACACATTGATTTCACTGTGCAATCTCATATCCCATCAGCAGTCCATTAACAAAGAAAACTCTTGCTCATAGCATCGCCCCGTAGTTTGTCGGAGACACTCGTCCCCTCGTACCCCAATGGCAGGTCTTCGTCGTACGTACGTCACTACTGGTGGACCGCGTGCGCGTCTCTCTCGACCCACGACTGCTCGAAAACAAGCCCCGGGTGGGGCATCCCCGCGGCCGGCCAATGGAAGCCGATGGACCGCGCGCGGCGTCAACGCTCGCGAACAACGACGGCACCTCCGACAAGCGACGGGGAATAAGGGCCGAGCAAGGAGAAGCCACGGGCCGCGCGTGGGCGAGCTGAGCCAGCCGATAGTTCAAGCGGCACTGGCTTCGAGAACAACCGGGGGCCTCCTCTAGAGAGCGAGAGAGCTCCTCAAGGGGCCGCACTCGGGCACGGAGCAAGTCTCTCTTTCAGCCTGTACGTGCATGTGTTTCACAGAGAGAGAGAGAGAGAGAGAGAGAGAGAGAGAGAGAATGAGCGAGAGAGAGAGAGAGAGAGCGCGAAAGAGAAAGAGAGAGAGAGATACAATGGCTCCTATACCATGGAACGCCTTAGCTGTAGCTCCACTCTCCCTTCTCACTTGCTCCTTCGCGCTCTCTCTCTCTCTCTTTCTCTCTCTTTCTCTCTTCTTCACTCCCACCCTCTCCCCCTCGCCAATCTCGCTCGCCCTCACTCTCACTCACTCTCTCTCTCTCTCTCTCTCGCTCTCTTCGCTAGCTTCTTTCCTTCTTTTTCCCTCACAAATTCACTCGCGCGTACCTACACGCTCACACACTCGCGATCTTGCCGTCTCTTTCGCTTCCTCTCTATCGCTATCTACCAGCGAAAAGGATCGCCACTTATGAGTTAAGACCCGTTCAAGCTTGTGTGTGAAAAACTTTGGTGAACATTTCTGGACAAAGCGGTATTAAAGGTCCTGTGCAAAATTTTAGAATAACCGCTGGCTTGGCTTTGTTTACTTTTCTTTTATACTTCCATTGGTTCAAAATTTGTTTCAGAATTCTAAGAATCTCAATGTAATAATTGTCGGGACAAACTCCGTTTGTTTCCACAATTCATCTCCTTTTTCGTTTTTATTTCACTTTAACGTGCTGCACGAAGTGATAATTTTACATGATATTTATCAAATTCATAAAGCTATTAATACGATAGAGGCAAAAGTTTTCGTAGATAGTAAATTCAAAAGGATTATGCTTACTCAATACGTTATATTATTATAATATTATATTATTATTACTTATCAATTCGTTTATCCCATTTATCTAATTTTTTAATTTTCCTTATTAACAATTCACTTTATACTCTGTACGGTTATACTTATACTGTTTAACTTTATACTCAAATGCTATGAATTTATTAAACGTTCGTGTAAGAGAAATAGAGATTTTAATTTCATTTGTATGAGAATGTGTTGGAATACGTGTGGTAGAATTAACTCGAAAGAAAAGAATCTTGAAGAAAAATTAGGGAGCTTAAAATTCACCAGTCCAAGGCTTTCGTCCTCTCGCTGCTCTACGTACATGCACACTATGTTCTCTCTTTGTTTCTCGACTCTGCAGCTCTCGGTTGCTTATTTCGTTCTGCTCCCTCTTTCTCTCCTCTCTCTAGCGACTCATTCAACGTGCCGCGGTTCTCATCCGACGCGTTCCGCTCGCCGAACTCCGCACCCGCCAGCGATCGCCGATTCGTGATAATAGGGAGAAAAGAAGGAACTCATGGGGCCGGAAGGACCGAGTCTGCGCCAAGGCGAGTTTATCTTTTGCGAAAAGTCGAGGAGCTGAGTTGTCTTTCGATATTTCCAGGATCGCTGCTGCGCCTCCACTAACGCGGCTACGCTTCCTTCCTTTATTCCAGGTATTCCAGCTTCCCGGTTAATTAGTTCGAACAGTTAATTGGAATGATCCTTGAATATTCATTGGCACTATGTTGCATTCGCAAAGATTTTCGAGGATCTAAATTATATGTATGTAGGCTAAGATCGTATTTTTGCGTAGGGCATTTTATGTTTTTTGCAATTTTATATTCGCGTGAATCTCTTTGTTCTTGCTCATAGACTGGATAGCAAAAAGAAAATTTTTACGTTAAATCTTGATGCAATTTAGAACAATTTTTCTTATAAATCTTCACATTCACGTAGCTATTAACGAAATCTTACAAGTCGATTCCGATTCTTTAAGTTAAATGTAAAAATCTAAAATGTTACGGTAATTATAAATAAAAGAATTAATAGAATCCATAGATTCTTACCATTTCTACAATAGAGTTAGTTGTAGAACCAATTTTGTCCTTTTATCTATCTATTTATTTATTTATTTTTTTTTTTATATATTTTTTCTTCACGTAAAGATAATAATTATAAAATGATAATATCTAATGTGGAAATTTTATGTAAAATTTTAATATTTACATAAATTCATCATTCCAGCGGAGGCATTGAACTCTTATCTAATATTAAAAATCTTGACATTAGGCAAGTCGCATTTCGATACTCTATAGATCATTTGTAAAAACTCGGGAGTTTCAGGAATTGCTTTCTGTAGGTTATGCAAGAGTTATTCTGGTTACTCCGAAAAGTTTCGTTTATGTCCGAGTAGCTAACTTCGTTTGGCATTGTGAGTAGCGTTGAGAAACTTGTGCAATTCAAAAGTATTAGGAACTTTTTCGATATTTGATAAATTGCACAGCACTTTGTATTCGTACTTTAATAATGCTCGGTACATGCTTTTGTAGGATAATTCATTAATTCGTATTCGCACGAATTGTTAATTTAAAAGATACAGATAATTGTTAAAATAAAATGCAAACACGTGAAAAGTAGTAAATATTAAATTTTTTTTTATTTATAAAGATGCTGCATGTCAATGTATAGTGTCCTCGTAATAAATGAATTTTTTTTTACGTCGATTTACATTTAACGGCAAGCAAGAAATATTTCACATTCAACATTTTTAAATAACTTTTTAGTGTTCTATTTCCAGTTCTACGTACTCACAAATCATTTTACATTCGCAATAATTACACAAACGCCAATCATAAAATAAGAATATTATTTTAAATTGAAAAGAGAATTTGAATAAATTTGCTCTACTACTCTTTCACTAAAGAATAGCTACCTAATGGAAGACTACAATTTCTAATTTCGTAAAACATCTTAATTACATAGAATTTATTATGTATAATTGTTTGCTCGTGCGCG